ACCACCGCAAGCCTGCATGTAGCTCCGTCATTTGCCGAGATTGTTGAGTTTCATTTTCATCTCTACAATCTAGTTCCTATGACCTTTTCTCTTTTTCGGAATGCATTCATTAATTTCTACTCTCGTTGAATTTGTTGCTTGGATTAAGAAAAATTCCCTATTTGGGAAGATGCTTGAACTATATATACTCTTTGATTGTCTGAACTAAAATTCTTAGCTAAAGAATGACTCTTTTGGAACGTTGGAAGTTAAATTGTGGGTGTCTGCTATTGGATCTAATTAGAGCATATAGCTTCAAGTTCAATATGTTAACATTCCCTTAGATTTTGGACAAGTGATTTCAGAATCACGTCACATTCAATTCAGGTGCCTCTTCAAAATTCGAAACCATCTTTCACACTAGCCTATATATTAACTAGATTAGTAGTTGTTGTGATGCCTCGATCATCACAACATATGTTGGTACTTCTTTTATTATGAGGAAAAGCAATAGTCTAAACTATAGAGAAGGGGAGTTTCTCACACCTCTGGTCTGTAAATTTTCAAGGTCATTTTCCACTGGGCTAGACTCAATTGGCAATATATATGTTGGTGCTCTTAAATAATGATTTCAAATGATATAAAAGAGGGCACAAATAGAATAATCTTGACTTAATAACGTCGTGTATATTTTTTTTGTTTGATATGATTCTCTTATCTTACTGCTAAGTCTTGTTATTAAAAGGGTTCGTGTCTTCCACTCCTGCCGCCCATGAGGCAGCTCCTCCTTCCTACCACTTACACTTCACATCAAGATAGAGATTGGTGATTTGGTGGTGCCCTTCAAGAAACTAATAAACGCACCAAAATCATGTGAAACAGATTTGGTTTTTACCTAATTTAATCCATATCTGTTGCTTAATGTAAGTTTAATTATATATGTAAGTCAAGAAGTGGTCAAATTGAAATATACATTACATCTAACGCGGTTGCCATCATGCTATATGCTTTTTTAAAACTAAAAAAAAACTAAAAAAAACTGGGTTAAACATATTTTCGAGCTTTAAATCCATCTAATTATTAGTTCAGATCTTAAGACATCATTAGCAAATGATGAATAGCAGAAGAAACTCGATCGTACAGTATGCTAGCTGAGCTCGTAGTACTGCAAGCTTGCAAATTAAGAAAGACAAGACAAGACAAGACAAGACAAGACAAGCTCTTGTTTGTTGTGGTGGAAGTTGACCATTGCCTTCACGTACACTGTTCTCTAAGGTGTCTTTTGCTAATGTTTTTATAAAAAGTACTGATTATTAGTGCTTTTGCTAGAAGTGTTTTTATTAGAATCACGTTTAAATTATTAAAGATCCAAGTGCGTTAAGAAAAAAATAAACATATATTTGAGAGTGCTTCTCTAGAAAATATTTTGATGACTGAGAAACAATTTTAAGTTTTTCTACTAAACGCTTGTCAAAAAGTACCGAGTCATGTCTTGATGCGTTCCTAAACATACTCTAAGCCGATATTCATTGTGTCTAAATACAAATCTTGAATAGAAGGGATTCTCTGGGGGAATATTTTCAGATAAAGTTAGGTAACGAATGACATGATGAAATTGCTTAGGTCGAACTTAATTTGCATGTCACTCCTCAGCCGTTGCTTGATTTTTCATAATTTCATGTCATCCAAAACTTTTGCATGCTATCTATATATCTCATCTGAAAGCCATAGCTCACGAGCACCACACACAGATGCGCACAATTTTTTTTAATGAGAGAAGCAACTCAACCAACTCATTGACTTTAAAAGTTTTGATTAAAGATGCATCGAGAGCTTTCAATTACAAAATTTTCTCGTCAATGTTAGGACATCAAATTGTAAAAATTCGGACAGTTTGTACTCTAATTAATTTTAAGCCGTAATATGAAAAGTATAATTTCCATTATGGCCTAGCTCTCTCTCTCTCTCTCGTACGGCAAATATTGTACTAATAAGCAACGAAAAAAGAGAGATTTCTTGGGAAGCATTTTGGTAAATTAGGTAGACCCTATCAATCAACTAGAAAGAAATTAAAAGGGCATGTATGTCTTAAGGTGGACATTTTGATGGTGATGCATATATAAATGGACGGCTGAGACCTGGGAGAGGCTGTGGCAAAATCTAAGTTTCCCAAGCAAGTCTCTTGAAATGACACTGACACAAAATCTATAAGTTTGAGTTTAGTAGCCTAGTAGTCCACCAAGTCATTTCATCCTTCAAACTCAAGTCACTTGGTGTGAATCGTGTCCTTTCTCATTTCGGGTCATTTTATTTGCATGTCTCCAATCTCTAAATTGCCTGAAACCTAAGCAAATAATAATAATAATAATGATAAATTATAATCAGGAACATATAAACCAATATGTATGTAGGAGTTCATTTTCAATCAAATTGTATTTCCTGTAATGAAACCTAATTAGGTGAAGCCATGTTCTAGAATTTTAGATCAGGATATCCCATGCATGATGCATGCATGCTTTTGATACTATATTATTTTGTTTAGACACATTGCTAGCATATATATAAGTAAATTAGGAGGCTGATGAGCTTTTTGGGCTAACTTGAGATTTGGAGCTGAATATGGTATGAAAACCATTCATCTCAATCTGGCCCAAATGACAAGAAAAACTTCCCTAACCACAAGGGCTAATTAGTGTCCCAAGTCCAGCATATCATTTTTTTTTCCTTCTCATAAAACGCAAACACATGGTTTTTTTTTTTCTTTCTTTTTTTCCAGGTGAACCCAAATAGAAGTTTAAAAACCACAATTTCACTAACGCTTAGGCCCGTTTGGGAGTGCTTTCGTAAGGGTTAAAATCGCTTTCTGACAACCAAAAACACTTCTAACATTGTCTGACATAAAAGTCTAGAAGTGCTTATAGGTCATATGATCGCTTTCTCGAGAAGCATCTGTCATGTGCTTTTTCAAGAAGCACTTCAATTTTTTCTGGAAAATTTAAATATTTTTATAATAAAAGCGCTTATGAGTATAAATGCTTCGTAAAGAAGTAGTCTCAAACGAGCCCTTAAATTTTCAACAGTCCAAAATACTCATCAACAAATATGACGCCTATATCCTTGGAAGAGGGTCGGTCGAACTTTTGAACCTTAAGACATACATTTTTTATTTAATAAGAAAATGTAAAGTTTACACTTTCTACACTTTTTTTTTACACTTTTCACGTTTTAGTAATTGTAATGTAATGTGTGGGTGACCCAGTTGCTTCAAGTCCTCGAATGTTAATGGCCGGTTCTATTTGTCAATAGAGCCCACTCACCAAATGCTTTGTTGCTTAGCAAAAGAAAAAAGATAACATGCTAACCCCCTCCCTTTTCAAAAAACAATAAAAAATACCTAGGACATTCTGCTTCCGACTTATTTATTCTACTTCCTTATTTAATGTTGTATGATTTTTTAAATTGTTGATTTTCAAAGTCGTCCTTAATAAGTTTGGCTAGAAGATAAATGGACTAGGAGAACATTTGTAGATTATTTTGCAAAAACCGAGTAGGAGTTAGCATCAATTTAGCCGAACTGATTAAACCGACCAATTCAAACTGTTTAAAATTGAATCAAACTGTAATGATTTGGTTTGATTTTTAGATTTCGCAAATCGGCCTAAATCAAACTGATATATTTATTTTTATTTTACACGTATAGTCATCTCATTGGATAAAACTAGATGAGTCTTTTGAATTTGAAGTTTGATGAAATTTTAAAGTTATTAATTTTTGAATTGCAAGAGCATTTACAATGGGGGGGTGTATAATGAGGTGTATGTTAAATATACACCCATTGTGATCGGAATCACCCGCAATGGGAAGGTGTAAATAAGTGTAAATTTGCATCACCACCATGAGATGCAAATTTAGATGTACATGTACATCTTTTTTTTACATCTCTTGCAAGTGGGATCCAGCTGAAAAAAAGTGAGATAAAGTGGAGAAAAGTCAGCAAAAAAAGTTGCTAGACCAAAATTCATATGTGAGCCCATTTTTTGGTTGTCATCTCTCCCCCCTTCCCCCAACGGCTACATTGCTGGACCAACATCTTTAATTTTCAAAATGAAATATTAGAAAAAATACCTTAAAATGTTTAAAATAAATTATAAATTTCTACATAGATATTTTTATGTTAGTTTGTAGGTAAAATCATATGTTCTCCAAATTTAAATTTTTTTAGATCCATTTATTTGGAAACATAAAATAAATCTAACACGCACAAAATTAATTTTAAAAAGATAAAACACAAAAATGAATTATCACAAACAAATCGAATATGCATCTTTGGATTTACATCGTTTCTTATTGGAGCAAAAAACGTATTTACACCCCCTGGAGGTGTAAATGGGATGTAAAAGTGGCTTTTACACCCCCGAAAATACACCCCTTCACTGCGGATGCTCTAACTATATTAGTTTATGAAGAAAAAAAAATTGTTGAAATTGGACTAAGAAAGTAAGAAAATGCAAAAGAAAAAAGAATTAGGCTTAAGCTCCAACCGGTCAAACCAAATCGAATCAAATCATTTTAAATTGGTTGGTTTCCTTCGTGATATTTGCCAAAACATAATCAAATTAAACCGTTATATCGTAATTGGTTCAACTATAGTTTTGGACTGAAACGAATCCAATGGGGACTGTGCCCACCCCTCCCCTACAAATTATCTTTTTTGCGCAAACATTTGTGTAGTATTGTTAATTTCCGTCCCATTTTACTAAAAAGAAAATAAGAAAACAAATAGGATCAGTAATGACTTGGCATGGGACCTAAGTAAGCGGCGCTTGTGCTGTGGAGATTCCTCCAAGCACGTGGACGCAAAACTCAGAAGCAAGAAAAGCAAGGCGATGCCATTACACACACGACACGTAATAAAATTTTGTAAATTCAATCACCAAAGTTCAAAGTCAAAATCCGTGGCTATAAAGATGCTCTGCTTTCTTTCCTTAAGATCTCTTCTCTTCCTTCCTCCTCACTCACAAATAACACAACAACAACTATTCATTTCATTTTCCACTTCACCAACATTACAAATATATAGTCATCCATATTTGTATTTATCTTTGTTTTTTTTGTTTTTGGGTTTATAGAATTAGAAGAGGCCGTTAGGTTTCTTTGGTTGCCAGGAAAACCGAAAAAACAGAGTCCACCGAAATCGTAGGTGGAGCGAGTGAGAAAGGAAAATTTTCCTCCGAAAATTGATGGGAACACAAAAGTAGTAAAAAACTCCCAACTTCATTTTCCATTTTCTCTCCGGGATGGGATTTATTGTCATTATTATTAGAAACACTTAGACTTCCTTGGAAAAAATTTATCTCTCTGTTTGGAGAGCTCGCTCTGTGTATATCCTTCCGAAGCTCTATGGCGTTTCTTCTTCGGGTTTGCAGCTGATATCCTCCCCATCCTCAGGTATTTGCAATTCTACATATTCATACATACATATTTGAATAACACGTATATACATGTTTGTTCATATTTGTGTTCATGGGTTGAAATTGAATTGTCATTATCTTTTCATTTGGTGCATTTTACTTACTGTTTTATGGTTTTCGTGTTTTGGGTTGATGGGTTTTTTTTTTCTGAACCATTATACATGCAAGTTGTGTTGGTAGAGGAATTGGGTTTTCCAGTTGACAGATCTTAATGATATGTATATAGGCAGCATTGATGCATTTGACATGGAACTGAAATTTCCGTTCCTAGAGAGAGAGAGAGAGAGAAATTCCTCTCTCTCCTTTTGCTTTAGGTTTGTTAGACACTTATGATTTGACAAAGTGATTCAAATCTGACTCTTTGTTAGCCAAAAAATAAAGAATTGAGATGAAGTACTATTGTATTGATTCAAATTTCACAAGGAAAGAAAAAGGATTTTCCCTTTCAGAAACATAAAAAATTACCCATGTTGCTATAATCCTAGAAATCCATGAGGAACTGGTTGAAGTTGGGAACTTGGTGGAATTGGTATGTTTTCTTATAATGACGATTATTTGAATTAATCCTTTCACAGTGCAAGAAGATCTGATGAGACCTTGTTGTCTGGAATCGGACACTGTGAATTCTGTGTTGGGATTCTTTCAACAATTGTGGTAAACATCGAGCAATGGATGACAATGGTAGCAGCAAGTTGACCGGGATCAGGCAGATTGTCAAGTTCAAAGAAATCCTGCAGAAGTGGCAAGTTGTCACACTCGGCTCGAGGGCAAACAGCCCCCGAGCCAGCACCCGCTCTGATCGAGGGGAGGGCACTCCTCGTCGAGGGGAGGGCACTCCTCGTTGTGGGGAAGGCGCTTCCCATAGAGAGGAGGGCACGCCCCATTCTGATCGAAGTCGCGGGGGAATTTCACCGGCAATCAGCAAGAGGCTAACAAATATTATTTGTGATTCGGACGAGGATAACGGCCACAGTCCCGAACCGCCAGCAGATGTTCCCGAAGGGTACTTGGCGGTTTATGTTGGACCGGAGCTTCGGAGGTTCATCATTCCCACTAGCTACCTCAGCCACTCCCTTTTCAAAGTATTGCTGGAGAAGGCTGAGGAGGAATTTGGGTTTGATCATAATGGCGGGCTCACCATCCCATGTGAGACTGAGACCTTCAAGTACCTCTTGAAGTGCATGGAGAACCATCAGAATGCTCACCCTGATGAAAGCCCAGGTGAAAATCAATTCATCTTTTTGTATGTTGAATTTGAATTCTGAAATAGCCCCTTGATCTGTTTTCCATTTGATAATTGGTTTTGTTGGTGGTTTTTGCAGCTGGAAACTGGAAACTAATTCAATGAAGAGTTAGTAATTGTGATGATGTTCTTAGTGGTCCAGGTTTTAGGGCTGATTTTCTTTGTTGTAAAGAGCAGGGTCTCCTTGTATGCAGACATCTTTTTTCATTTCTCTTTTTGTTTTTAATTAACAAACAATAGGAGAAGTTTTTTAGCTAGATATTTTGATGCTGTGGTGGTGCATCCAATTTGGTGATAGAGTGGTGATTATTTTCTCTGATTGAATGTGACCTACATGCATCTGATGTTTGATCAAGTATGAAACACATTTGTCCTCTCCGCTAAAATATATATATGCCAATATTACTTAATTTGCTAATTAATATATGGCTCTGATAGACAAATTCTAGAATATTTTCAAGTGATATATATCTCATTCGGATGTCCGCATGTTATTATCGTAATTTCTGTATATACATTAGAGAAAAACTCTCTCTCTCTCTCACTATATATATATATATATATTATATCATCACCAGCCTTGATCTTCAAGAATGAGAGATCTTCAAGTGTCTGTTGCCCTAAATATTATTATGCAGACATATCTGATTCTTTCTCATTTTGTCAATCTTGGCACATGCATAAGTGTGAAGGCCTCCACTCCATGTACTATAATGTTCTCTCTGTCTCAATCTGCCTGCACATGGTTCCAGGATCACAATCATTAAAATTCATAATTGTTTTTAATTGGTAGTTGTTAAGGTCTTGTTCAATATTATGTACATAATCTGATGGCAGTTATCATGTGAAGGACTAAATCAAATTGCAGGCATTATTTTATTGCCCCATTGTTATTCATAATTCATAGATTTCGTCCTCATTCGTTACTAAAAGAACTCGAATTTTGTAGGACATGACCCATTTGTGTAGAGTCCAGCAATCCACCTCTAGGAATGATATATACGCATGTATATAATTATAATATTGTTGGGATCAGATTAAATTCAAAGGTTAATTAAACTGTTTGAATCCATTTACAACTGTGCAAGCACAATTAAGGGGAGAGAAAGGAGAAAAAACTTGGTTGCAATGAAGCCCAGATGCGGTACACAATATGATATAAAAATATGGTAAATCTAGCATTTTCCTACATTTATATATGTAAAGTTCAGAGCTTGGGAGGTGGGAGAACCCACTTTGTTCCTCTGATAAAAGTCATGCCGAGGAAGGGCTTTGCTTCTTCATCAGATAACATCTTTGCATACTTGACCCGACCCGTTGAGCTCGAACCCGGTCCCATACACTTGTACTCTCCATAATACACAGTCCTAAAAAGCAAATTATCATCATATTAATTCTTGTTGGAACGTGTTATCCATAATTCAAAATAATTTAGTTACGTATAAGAACATTATTATTAGCCTATGCTTTGAATTAAGATGGTGTGCTTACTTGTCGCGCTCAGAGTGCATGGCGTCAGACCATCCTTGGCTGTCGATGAGAGATCCCATGTATGTGTAAGCAAACACAACCCTAGCTCTATCCCTCCAAGCCCTCCCAAGAAATGTGTCACCTGTCCCTGTTATGTTGCAATGCACAAACGCAAACCCAGTGTCGTCTCCCTCATCTTCCCTTGCATGTGCTGTTATCACCCCCATTCCATTTGCCACTGAATTTATCCTATTGTTCTGCAATTTTAATATTATTAAGTATGATTATATCTGGATTTAATTATTAAACTTTAAAATTATGAAAACTCTAATTGGGTTAAATAATTAACGAATTACCAAGTAGAGGGATTTGCCATTGCCAAAGATGAAATCAACAGTGCCTTGGATGTAGCAGTCCTTGAAGAAATGCCTCCCCCTGTCGTCACACAACGTGTCCTGAAACCCTATGAACCTGCAGTTGTGGAACGCTGCCTTGTCCCCTGATATTCTCATCGCCACCGCCTGCGCCCCGGGCCTCTTCCCGTCCGGCATTGGAGCCGAATTCTACACACACACACACAGAATAAGCATGCATGCATATGCCGCGTGTAAATCATGTGTGAAATAAATAGATAGGCATAGGATGAATACAATTCCAGAGCTCATCATTAATTAAACTGGTAGCTAGCTAACTATTCATATTGAAGCTAATGGTCACATGCTTTACACTGCCTATATAATTATAGCTTTTGGCTTTCTCATTACAAAAAGCTTCCATCTTTTCATGGCTACATGAGCATTTCATGCTGTTTTACAGTACTGGCCAATTTTATTCACCAAATCAAACAACCAACAATTAATATCATTATATATATATATAATTTCCTTGATCACATTAATTGTGCAATTAATTTGATTAAATAAAGTTTAGCATTGCTGATGCATCTGCAGTGTTTTCAAAGCGAAACCAAAACCAAAACCAAAACGCTCCAAACACTCTAAACCCATTTTAGGGAAAGTGGTCTTAAATAATAGCTAGCTATAGCCATTGTCTTCACATTTTCTACCTCTCTAATCTCTCTCTCTCTCTCTCTCCCTCATGACCTCATCGCTCAAACTAATCCACCAAAACGGCAAGCATGCCAATTTTGCTCACACTTTCTCATAGAGACAGCTTGCAGAGAGCAAAAGCAATGTGAATTAAAACGCACATGCAGAGATGAAAAACGACATCAGAATTAATATTAGCAAAACGGCAAGTCATATAATAACGTATTATTATTATTACCACGAACGCAATGTTGACGGCCACGAAGTAGTCGGCCTCGACGGCCACCGTGGCACTATCCCACGTCCCGTACTTCAACGCCGTGCCATCAAACGTGATCGACGGCACGTCGTTCTTATCCCCGTAAAAGGTCACGAACGGCCGCGACGAGTCGACCAGAATCTTTTCTCTGTACTCACCCCCGCCGATGAACACCACGACGCGACGCGTGTTCCACGACGGAATGCTGTTGACGGCGTCAGTGACTGTTTTGAAGTCTCCAGTGCCGTCTTGCTTGACTGTTATTATTTTGACGGCGTCCTCGGCGGAGAGCAATTTAGAGTCGAAGTGGAGAGTGGCTTGGGTGGCCTTGCGGTTGGCGTGGTCCCTCATGTTGTGGACGATCCACGTGTCGAGTTGGGAGAGGTAAGGAGGGATGAGGTTCGGGTGAGTCAGAACGAGTTGCGGTGAGGTTGTGATGATCGTGATCATGATGATGGTGATGAGGTTGGAAGCAAGAAATGGTGCCATTGGTGAATTCTTGGGTTTCTTTTGGGTGTTGAGGGTTTTTGAGGTCTTGTAAATGGAGGCTTGGTGTGATTTGATTGATTGACAGATTGATTGATTGATGGGAAGGGTTTTATAGGGGGAACAGAGAATGAGACGTACAGACACAATGCTATGCGTGCAGCTTGTTCCTGAATTTCATGGGTTTGGTTTTAATTGAGTTCTTGGATTCTTGTAAATGCATATATAAGCTGTGTTGGTCTTGCACACAGTTCTCTCACGTTAAACTTCTTCTTCTGTACATGCACCAAGTCACATGATTAGGGCTATGCAATTAGTTTTGTGAAAGGAACATTGTATACGATCGAGACTTTATATGTAAGAGCGGATTTGTGATAGGTAAATATCTAAGTTAGATGCTGGTTTATGAGTGCCAAAGAGGTGGGGAGGTTGTGGGGTTTTGGGTAAAAGGAGGGATTGGGTGGGCAAAGAGAAGAAGTTGGTGTGTTACAAGTAAGAGTTGATGTCTTGTAACTTAAGAAGGAAAGGGGGAAGGGTTTGGTAGGAGAGTGGCAGTTTTTTGGACACACCCAATATAGCAAATGTCAACTGCTTCTCTGGGAAGCAGCGTTTGCCTTTACTTACATGTACTTGGGCTACGTTTCATGGGCTTAACTGATGACATAGAGATAGAGGTTAAAGCTAAGCTGCAAGGGTCGTAGAGGTTGGGCTAAGAAAGCAAATTCCAGCCCAAGATTGGTATTAGACTAAGGGAGCTTCTATAATGAGGGTTTATAGTGAGGAGGCTATTTGAGGAGGCCCATCTCACCATCAAAAGGGGTGTGGACCCCCCAATGCAACCCCCCCAATGTACTTTGTTTTTAGTTGTTGATGGTGAGATTTCACCTCCTCAAATAACCTCCTCATTCAACCTCCTCATTCTAGCCTCTCCATTAGACTAAACTAGACAGACAGGCTGGACATGTCAACAAGACCGTTGATCAAATTTCTTGGTTTTGTTGGTTTACTACTATTTTCAAACATGATTTACTTCACACATGAGACGCTAGCTATAGGGCAGCCTAGCTAGCTATAGACTATTATTCATGTGGGCAATCTAAATATTCCAATGACTTTTTCTTTTTTTGCCTTCAATCCAATGACTGCGTATACGTACATATATAACATTGATGTCTAGCGTTGTCGATGAACACAATTTCATACAATTTGCAAGACAGGGCATGCTTACAATATTGCGTATGGAAACCTCAAACTTGAAACCAAGGCAAAATTAATGAATCTATAATACCATCTCTTCAATGTTCGTTGCTACTCTATGTTAGAACATTTCTGGGAATACTATTTTGATTGATCGAACAACTAGACAATAAGGATATACTAAATTGGTCATGAATAAATATTGATGTTCATCTCGATCGGCAACAAGTTACCAGGGAACCCCAGCCATATATAATATATACTAAAAATCAGCATGTTGCATGTATCGTGATGATGTATACAGATACATCCAGTTGTTTTCCTAACAGTGCATGCACAATACTTCTCCTAAGAGCATCCACAATGGGGGGTGTAAATTCGGGGGTGTAAACTATTTTGATTGATCGAACAACTAGACAATAAGGATATACTAAATTGGTTATGAATAAATATTGATGTTCATCTCGATCGACAACAAGTTACCAGGGAACCCCAGCCATATATAATATATACTAAAAATCAGCATGTTGCATGTATCGTGATGATGTATCAGATACATCCAGTTGTTTTCCTAACAGTGCATGCACAATACTTTTCCTAAAACGGTGCATGTATGGGCAATATTTAATCTCTAGAGCCAACTGGAAAGAGCTACGCCTATATGCCTTCACACACTAGGGCTAAGCCTAGAAGCCTAGAAGCTATAGAGTATGGTGCCTCATTAGTACCTAACATACCCATTTCTCTTTCAAATGACAACAGCCTGATCAAAGCATAAACCCTAGTTCTAGCTAGCAGCCTTCTGGTATGGGCTGCACTGCAGTGCACAAAGCTGAATGGTTCTATTGGAGACGATTCCGGTGACTCGGGGTGTATATTTAACATACACCCCCCCACTGTGGATGCTCTAAAACGGTGCATGTATGGGCAATATTTAATCTCTAGAGCCAACTGGAAAGAGCTACGCCTATATGCCTTCACACACAAGGGCTAAGCCTAGAAGCCTAGAAGCTATAGAGTATGGTGCCTCATTAGTACCTAACATACCCATTTCTCTTTCAAATGACAACATGCCTGATCAAAGCATAAACCCTAGTTCTAGCTAGCAGCCTTCTGGTATGGGCTGCACTGCAGTGCACAAAGCTGAATGGTTCTGATAACATGCTAGACATGGCGATGGTGTACATATAATTTATCTGTAAATCTGATACATATATATATATATCTCTTGAACATAAGGTAACAGCACATGTAAGTATTTTGGCCTCATCATCGAAATCCAATCCAAATCCTATGCATGCATGGCCATGATATCATCCACCTCAAAATATAAAAAAAGGTCCCTTCCCTTTTCTTTTATTTGACTTTTGACTTTTCTTTGGCATTTGTTTCAGTTGAGAGTTAACCAGGCTAGGCGCAGAGAGAGAGAATATGAATGACTGAAATGAAACCCACTGTTTTTGGATATAGTGGTAAAGTTTTGGTAACGTGGGGGGATTTAATTTCAGATTTGAGACATCACATGTCATGTCTGTGATAATAATAATTTGGTTTTACGGTTTTGGAGTCTTGTGCCTACAAAAGTTTTTTTGGCTGTGTAACAAACGTGCACATATCGTTGAGTTGAAATAACCATTCTGCAGGTACAGATGCTGTCGTTGCTCTTCTCTTTGTTATTGTAAAGAAACTTTCTTTTCCTTGAATTATTTCATATAAAACTGCTCGTCCAAGTAGCATCACAAAGCGCAAGTGTTAGCCTTATATCTCTTCGAGGTCAATTTATGCATCAGAAATTGAGCAAAATATATGGCCATACTTATTATGAGCCTCATTTGTGGAAACAAGAGCAGGCAGAGGCCCTTTCATAATCAATTCTCATTCACACTGTATCATCTCGTGGAGTTTGCATGGTTCTTCAATGGGACTCTTCCTTTTGTCCTCTCCTGCCCTCTTGCTTTATAGGGCGAACCCCACACACCCACTCTCTACTACATATGCTCTAGGCCGTCCTCCTACCAATCATTTCTTTCCATTCTCTCATCCATTATTTGGAAATTTTTATTAATTGTGATCGTAATACCGTTTATAATTAGGTGCATAAATAATTACTCTTAATCATTTGAGTTACAAATTTCTAATGCTAAACCACTATTATTGAAGTGCCGAAAATTAAACGAGTAATGTAAAAATCGCTATCCTTGACTTTTTCCACCCGCACTTTTCAAATTGTGCTACAAATTCAGTCAATTGTTCATAAAAAAACAACAGCATGATAAAGAACAACTTGGTATGCAAATGGGTTTCTAGTGGAAGTTGATTTTTGACTAAAAAGAATACGGTCTCTTCATTCATTGAGGCATGAATTTTAATTTTCATAGGATTTGAAGACAAAAATTCCATGCATCACATGGAGAGTGGTGAGGGGGTGGTCCGTTCAGAGGCCAAATCCGATTTTGACGACCCACTCCCACGTGGGCTGGTCTTTGGCGCCTGACTCTAGTGGTGGCTTCGGACAGAATGACATAAATACCCTCGTATGCATGATCAATTGTCCAGTCACCAAATGACAACAAAATCACTGCAAGGATGATTGGGGGCATCCCCACCCCACATATCATCTAAAGCCGCGAAAAACGGCCGTCTCTTTCTGCAACTTTGTTTTGTCCTCTTCTCGATCCTAACAGCTGAGGGGGCTCCCATGGGGGAGGGGTACTTTTGTCTTTTCACCCTTTCGCCCATAAACTAATTTTGCGTAGAGTATTTAATGGGATAGTCCTTTGATTGCTGGGAAATTTTTGGGGTGGACCTCGTCTCGCAATCACAGGAGTGTCCTCTGCATTTCAGTCTCATACGGCCTCATGTCAATCGTTCTAAACGTAGCGACCGGTGCTTGTGAGATATGCCGAACAAATATAGGGTTTAGGGAGAACAACCGTGAAAATGGCTTTATCAGATGAAGTATTGCTGAACTCAAAAGTGATGTTTTATGCCAACTTTCTAGCAAACATCTTGGAAGTTTGCATGTTATTTCTTCTCTTTTTTTCTCATTATTTATAATTTGATTGCTTTGGTATTATTTTAACTTTAAATCCAATCGCCATGCTGCAAATTAATGACCTAGATTGAAAAGCATACAAAGAACAGGTTAACCTAAATGATCATACTATGAAGAGTGCAAAATTTCATCACATAAAATCATGACATTAATCTTCTTTTCTTGGGTAAGATATAAGGCATTTACGGCTTGTTTGGTAGGAAGGACTAGACTAGACTAAACTAGAAAAATGCCTATATTTCATGTGCATTGAAGGCAATATGGATATGTTACCTAACTTTGAGGAAGAATGGGAACTATTTATAAGAGGTTAATGACTAAAACTTAGATAACAATATTCATATTATGCCTAATTCCCTCATAGGGAATTAGGGGGATAAATTTTAGTCACCAACCTCTTATGAATAGTCCTCATTCATCCTACAAGTTAGACAACAATATTCATATTATGTCTTTATTGCACATGAAATATAGACATTTTGCTAGTCAAATCTAATCGAGTCTAGTCCGCCGTGACAAATGGGACCTTAATCTTTAAATTACAACTCATTTCAGAATTTTTATAAGTGAGAATAAAGTTAAGACTTTTTGTTTTGTTTTCTTGTGTTATGTCTCTAAAGTTTGTCATTAGGACACTTTCTAGAATTTTAAACGTTATCAACTAGTTTTATTGTAATTGATTTGGTGTAACATCCCTAAACTAAAATGAATTGCCCATAATCTATGTCCTCTACATTTCAATCAAAGCTTAATTAGCGCTTAAACAAATCATATATAGTATGCAAAAACCAGTACGGGTTTTGGATTCCAACTCTAATTTAATACCGCCATGATTTAATTATTCATGACCTTTTTGACAGACAGTATAGAAACAAGCAAGCTATAAATACTCAAGACTTAAGACTTAAGAGCTTTACGGGTTGGCAATCACAGCTTGGCCACGCGTTTCTGGTTCTACCAAATGCATGCATTCAACAAAGCTTTGTTGTGTCATCCACTTTCATATGCAATTAAAGTCTTCAATCACTTGCAATAAAAGCGCTTTTTTTCTCCTCCAGAACCCAACAAATCAAACAAGAAACACTAAGCGTGTGGTTCTATTATATATATTTCGATCGCAAAGGCATCTCTCTAACCACCTAATCATTAGCCTAGCTTCCTAAACTATATGGAAAAACATTTTTCTGATGACTTTATGTGTAGGAATATTTTTCAATGCAATTTAATTATAATCGTATCAGAGTTTAATTATGAATTAATATTAGTTTCTGCCGAAAGGTGGGCTTCCTGTAAAGTTGTTGACTTCCCTGCTGTCTCTCAGGGCCTTTTTTTTTTTATATAAAGTTTTTTTTAAGTACTATTTCAGTATTTCTCTAAGGTTGGTCGACCTGTGATTGGTTAGTTGCAAGGGTGTATTCTACTTTTTATTCTACATGCTCTCTAAAAATATGTTTGTATTGAATTGACTTCTAAATTCAAAAAATATAATCATACGAGATTTTGGTGTAAGCCTTGCGCGGACGGCCTATTCTTATGAGACTAATCATAAAAAATTAATTCTCGCAGTTTTTTTTTTCTATTTATCTCAATAAATAGGTTATAGAGAAAAGGAGGTTAGCATCCAAACCCAAGCTATCTTTGCTGGTGGGTTTTAATTATATTGATTCATTACTCTTTTGAATAAACGTTTTTAATGTTAATATAAAATATAAAGAGATATTATAATATAAGCTCCGACGTGACACTTGATTAGCTTAGTCTCCACTGTCACTGAATTATTTAAGGCTACAAACCGCTCTTGTCTTATTCAAAAGGATTTGTTGTCGTTTGCTTACTGTTATTGTTGGTTGATGACTTGATGTTAAAAAAGAAAGAAGAAGAAAAAACCATTTTAACACACACACGGAATTTTAAAGGTAGCCATTATGTTTTGTCTTCCTTCCCAATTGTCAATTTCCACAGCATGTTATGATCTCCAAAACTCCTGCGCAGGACCCATTTGCGACATAAAAATACAAAAGGACCACGTATTGTTGTCGTCAGACCAAACTTATCCGCATGTAAAGTTGCATTATTTCTCTTCAGTCTTCACCGCAAGTAAAATCAAATTTATCGAAATGTCACAAAAGCAACTAAGTATATATGTGCTCTTCACACTACACCCGAGTATATCCGAGCAATAACTAATTGAATTTCACTTTGTAATTAATTCGTAGGTAGCTTGTTATCCTTTAGAGATAATGTCTCAAGTACCACTGACTACCCAGTTAATTTGTGTGGCGAGGAACTTTGGACAGGAAAATAATTACATGGTCGTACTATATAGTTTCTTCCAATGTTGACATTTCATGCTACATGTACCGCACTACCACATTTATCATAAAGCTTAAATATTCGACTTTCCAAATAAGCACGTATGGATCTCGTGGTTATGAGATGTAATCAACTATGTAATTAGTGAAATATGCGTTCTAACTAATAATTAACATTGTAGATTATGCGGAGTCGCTTAATTACATTCCAACCACATCAAGTAAGAAGGTGTGATTTATCAAACTGCAAGAAATGAACATTAATATTTATATATATATTCATAAATCTTTAGAATAGAATGAACAAAGAAGAATGACAGAACTGACGAATCCAGCCCAGATGGCTGTGAAATATTGGGTTAATCATCCTTAATCAAATCACACACTCTCAAACCAATTTTTTTTATCCTCCTCTCCACTCGATCTATCAACAATGTACAGCCTTCTACTGTGCAGATGACCACACAGAATCACCCCCACCTCTCTCTCTTACTCATTATTTTCCTCAGTCACCTACATGCGTATAGATATAGCATTAGATATAATATTACTTCCTCCTCATCAGCAGCAGGCATAGAACTCGACCAACTCGTCCATTGACTCGGGCTGAGGATCGGCATTCTCGAGCATCCAAAGCAAGTGCTCGAACAGCACCACCTCGCATGCGACATTGATTGTGTGGTCGTCTGAGTCCCCGGACCTGTCTGCCAGCTCCTTGAAAAGCGGGTGGTCTACGACGTCGGAGTTTACGAGGTAGCGTCGTCGAGACTTGCCCACGTAGACCGGGCGGAGGTCGGCTGAGATAACGGCGGGGGACGAGGAGAAGTCGTCGTCGGGGGAGACTACGGAGTTGAGGCTTGGGCGGCTGTTCTGCTTGCTGAATGAGTTCCACTTCTTGAGGACTGACTTGAGCTTTGTTAGCTGCCCACCTTTGGCCATGGTGATGATGTTTTCCTAAGCAACCAAGAGAGAGAGAGAGAGAGAGAGAGAGAGAGAGAGAGAGAGAGAGAGAGACTTTGAGAGTTGAGAGTAGTGTGTTGCTTTTGGGGGATTCGGAAAGGGGAAGGAAGGTTCATATTTAAAGGGAACTTAGGTGAGGGGGGGGGGGGTGTCATTGTAATTTCATTAAAATGTTTTTTCCTTCTTCTTTTGGAAGTGAATAAAAGGAATTTCATTATAATTTATATGAGATTTTAAATCAATTGGGGATCCGAATTTAGGGTTTCTTTTAACATTAGACAGTAGATTAAGTGTTAGTTGATATGTACGTATATTAGAAGATTGAAGGGATATGTACGTAACTTTTACAAATAAAGAAAAAAGGACAACGGTCAATTCTCGTTTTGGAAGAAATCATGTTACCACTAAATGAACCATTATGGATTTTTTTTCATCAAAAGAGTAGTTAGTTAAAATCAAGGTCTAAAATATCGAGGGTTTTGGAAATATTAGGGGTCCAAAAACACAGAAATATCCGGAAATTATCAATATCGGTAAAAACTAAATCAAAACAAAGGAAATTATAAGAAAAAACTTGGAAATTTTGATTGAAATTTTGAAAATTGGGTCTAAGATTGGTTGACGTTGCCCATAAGCAAAATCATTTGAAGATTGGGTCTTGGATTTTTTCCATCAACAATGCGGTGGATAAGACGTGAAGGAAGAATGGAAATAGCAAGGATTCGAATCCCCCATGTGCGCACGCATAAGCCTTTTAATTAATTTTTTTCTATTCTATGTCCATATCACGATATTATCGATATTGACCAAAATGCTTATGATAATTGAAGGATATTATTGGCGCCGAAATTTCTGTGATATTATCGACAATTACACGCATATGTTCCAAAATATACCCCTCCCAAAAAACGATAATATCCTTAATATTTTGATAATATTATCGATATTAAGGGGAAAAAAAATGTGCAACCACAAAATGTTTATTGCAAGGCATTTTATTAAATATTTTTGTCAGTCTCACTATCTATAATCAAGTGATGTATTTGTATTTCTCAATTATAACGGTTAATTGACATTCATACAATATAACATATCAAACTATATATTTAGTAAAAAATATTCCTTAACATATAACAATTCTTGAATTTGTGATATAAAATTGCAGAACTTTGAATAATAACGGCGGCAAAGCTTGAGGGAAAACCAGGTGCGCCTTTTGGCACATGAGGCGTCATCAACCCAAACAATGTGCCTTCAACGTTTGGTTGGTTGCATCTGAATAGAGTAAGAGTAACCCAGGCTTTGCTCCGTCGAACTGTGTTGAATAAATTTTAAAAAAAACACAAACAAAAAGATGAGTGAGGCTAATTTATTAAAATAAATGTACTTTTTTATTATAAAAAAATGTCTTGGATGAGGGTTTAGTAGAAAGTTGGTGGTGGTCTGGTCTCCATGATTTTCGAACGATATTGACTAAGAACAATTCTACTATTTATCTTTTTAATTAAAAAGAAATGTCAGTGAAAGGGACAGACATGTGCAATGCTGTTTTCAAGGTCGACCTAAAGTAATTAATTATGGGTAAACGATTTGAAAAAGTAAATTAAAATATTTAAGAATTAAGAGGAGGGATGCCTTCCCTCTTTCAGAATGTAGGCGCCAAGCCAACCGGCGGTAAGTGGTAACAGCCTTCATTTTTAATATTATCAGAAAAGACAAGGGATTTTATTAAATACGTAATACACTTTATATAAGTTTAAAATTTTGATGGATCCATGATACTTTAGTCAATTGATTTAACCCGCATATACAGACGACTTTTGATATTTGAAATGACTTGTTATCAACTACTTCAAGAGCTCAAATTAAACATGGAAAAATTTTATGAGAGCTTACGCATTATGGTAACGTGATGAGATGATATAATATTGGGAAACATAAATTTCCAAATTAATACCTACTAATCATGATATGGTTTGGCATTTTGGTCAAATTTGATGTTGATTTAAAGATACAAGGTAGCTGGTGAGCAAGAACATGTGAACAACACATGGACTTAGCATGACCTAGAATATTTGAGCAATGTCTACATTCTAGAGCACCCATACCTCCCCCACGTGGACTCAATTCATGCATTAACTACTAGAGTGCTAATGGAGTCATTATTATTTCCAATGTACATACTTAATCTTAGTCTAATCTGATATTCCTAAATAATTGGACCAACTAATTTACATAAAGCAAGCACTAATGAAGGACTTTGGACGCCGAACATTGTCTTGTCATGTTACATATACAATAATTAATAAGTTTGGAATTAACTTGTGATAAAATTAATTAATTATGCATTTGCTCATGCAGATAAACACATTTGTCTAATTAATTACCAATTAGACGATCCTAATCCCCCCTCTCCCCCCATAAGACGACAGAGATGAATGAATTAAAGCAAGCAAAAACATGATAATTGAGAGAGAGAAAGTGTTTGGATTTGAAGAATCTTCATGTCCTCTGATCTAAATCAGTTTCCATTTTAAGGTTTGTTTGGGAGTGATTCTAAATACGTTAGAATCACTTTTAGGGAGAAACAACTCTTATGTGCTTCTCTATCATAAAAGTGCTTTTTGGCCTATCCAGAATCACTCTCAAACGAGTTTAGTTGTTAATTGAAAAGCGATTAATGTTGAATGATGCCCAATTAAGTTTGGTCAGACCCAATTAGCAGAAAATGATGTAATTAGTGGAGATGATAGTACAGGCAAATCTGATTCTCTGTTGGAGGAGACACAATCTCAAAATCTCATATATATATATATATATATATTTTGCAGGTGGGTATACATATGTGACAAACAGCATATAAACAAAATCTATGCCTAATATTGTGAACCATATAATTAATCTGAATTTTTTTTTTTTAATCAACAAAAACAAAAACTTTTTGAAAATGATTCCTACTGGTTGGATAAAAAAAAAATTAAAAAGATGTTGATTGGTTTCTGAACATAAATAAGTAGAAACAAGATGATCGTATGATGTCCCTATATTTGTGTGATATGATATGATATGATGGGACATTATAGGCTCCAAAATCATGTGCTTTAGAAAACCTGTTCGACCTCATTCTAACATTAACTCAATTATCATGTTATGAATCTAGCCATATAAGTTTTGTTGTCTACCAACATCCTAATTAATCCTCTAATTTATCTCTACATCATAGAATTTTGAAAATACATAGCATAGGATAAATCGTACATATGCCAAGTCTTCGATGTGACAATGAGGGTGAATTCACTAGTTACTCCTTCCACAAAATGCAATCTAACAACAATTTTGTTGCCCGAGCAAAATGGTGTTGCTGAGAGAAAGCATAGGCACATCATTGAACTTACAAGAACCCTCCTTGCACAGTTGTGTTTTCATTTGAGGCCTTTGGATGGGCCGTTCATTTGAAATAAAGGCCCATGTCGAAACGAAAAAGTGGGCCTACTACATCAAGGTCCATTATAAGTGGAGGAATATAGTTGGGCTGCTTGAAGATTGTTTATCTCTCTTTTTTGGCTTTTTATCACATTGTTTATCTCTCTTTTTTGGCTTTTTATCACAAAACATCCTGACGTTTACGAAACTATCAGATTACATCCTTAAAGTTTTTTTGTATCACTCATGGTTCCTAACGTTAATATGGATGCTCTTAAATAGTCATTCTGTTAAAAAAACTGTTAAATTCAAGGATATAATCGTCAAATCAATCCAAAATTATAAAATTATAATATAAATATATATGCCCTTACCTTCTCAACGAGTCTCGGAAGTGTCTCTGCTGATAAATGCCTGGCAAGATTCATAGCTGAAGACAGACTCAACCCAACCACACTCTCCAAAAACGCAACTTTTCCATTGTCACCTTTTTCCTTGGCTAAATACCTCACCTTTTCTTTAAACCCAACCAATTCTCTCCCCTCCTTTCTCTCCCGCTCTCTCCACAGCCCAAGCTCATCCAACTCCAAAACCCCATCGACCAACATCCGCAAATACCTCGGCGAATTCGACGAAACAAAGGCGGCTTCTGTCTCAGAAACCCCACATTCTTGAAGAAACTCCCAAAAAGCATCTTGGGCAGCTTTGAATTGCTCCGATTGGTGGTCTGGCGGAGGTGCAGGGTTGTTGGGTGGTGTGGAAAACAGGGGATGGTGAAGGTGGGGTGATGGGTTTTGGAGGGCGTGTGAAAAATTGGGTTTTTGGGTTTGTTGGTTTGTTGGGGATGAGGAAAGTCTGAAACTCAACAGAGCAAGCTCTCATCTTTTTGTTTTGGATTGAGCTTGCTCACTTTTTTGGGGAAGTTTTTTTTTTGGGTCGAATTTTGGTAAGTTAGATATCCCTTTGGTGGGACTTTTGCTGCCATTGATATGACGATTATACCCCTAGATTTAACACAATTTTTGACAGAAGGACTATTTAAGAGCACCCATATTAACGTTAGGGACCATAAGTAATACAAAAAAACTTTAGGATGCAATCTGATAGTTTCACAAACGTCAGGGACGTTTTGTGATAAAAAACCTTTTTTTTTATATATAAATTTATTTATAATGAAAACAAAGTTTAGGAGGAGATAAAATTGGCTACTCTCACCACCAGCATCACGACATACCCACAACCTCAAGCTGGAATGCGCGGTACATAACTGCCTGCTACCACGAGTATGAATTTATGTAGGAAATTACAAATCACGCACCAATAAGGACTGTTGGCATTGAAACTCAAACACTTACACACAGTACAATGACTTCACCAACTGATTGGCATTGTTTATATCTTTCTATTCTCTATTTGTTCATTTGTCGTATTTAAAATGTCACACTTTTTGCTACCACACTTAGTTTGATATATTTATACAATCAAAAAATGTACACTGATGTAGAGATCGATGGGTGAGATAAGTAATTATTGGATGGGTGAAAAGTTGTCTTTTTTCCAATTTATCTATGACTTTAAAATCAAGATTTTTCTTTATATATAGATAGATAAGATTAATTTTGTAATAAAATACTAAAAGTTAAGAAATATGGACCGTTCAAGACTTCTGTAATTAAAAATACAAAAAAAGAAAAAAAAAGAAAGACAAAGCAACGTAGAATATGGACCGTTGGGGTTGCATTCTCGGGGATCCATGTTCCTGGGTAAAAGCCGTGTTTAAGCTAACAGCTTGCTCCCTCCCGCCTCTTATATTCACCAATCACCATCGCCCACCTGTCCCATCGACTTTCTCAACCGTTCACTTTCACTCCCTTTGTGTCCAAAACAGAAACAGTTATAGAGCTTTCGCGCTCTCTCTCTCTCTTTCCCCATCTCTGCTTCTCTATCTCTTCTTCACTATAAACTCGAATTTTCAAAACCTGAATTCTCCGAAACCGACAAAAATGATCAATTTCAGCTCCAACTGCACCCATCACACTAACCTTCACTCCACCTTCGCTCCTCGTTTCTTCCTCAAACACGCTTTCCAGATCCGCGAGTTCCGGGTCTACCGTCGCCGAAGACTCAAACTTGCCCCGCGAAACCAACTCGGAATCGGAAACGGAAACCCTTTCCACGACTTCATTTCCCAATTCCCTTCCCCTAATTCCCTCCAACTCATCGCTCCGCTTCTCGGCTTCGTCTCCGGCGCCACCCTCTACCTCTCTAATTCCAATTCCAATTCCGGCTCGGCCAAGCAGCAATCCGGTTCCGATATCGGAGAGTGGGTTTTGTTCACCAGTCCGACGCCGTTTAATCGCTTCGTCCTCCTGAGGTGTCCGTCGATATCGTTCCAGGGGAGCGAGCTGTTGGAAGACGTGAACGAGAAGCTGGTGGAGGAGGACAGGCACTTCGTCAGGCTCAACAGCGGTCGAATTCAATTCGATTCGAGGAACCGCACAGACAGTGGCGTGGAGGAGAAATTGGAGTATCAGAGACTGTGCGTGGGCACGGACGATGGAGGGGTCATATCTCTTGATTGGCCTTCGAATTTGGACCTCAAAGAGGAACATGGTTTGGACACCACCTTGGTTATCGTGCCGGGCTCGGCCCTGGGTAGTATGGATTGGAAAGTCAGGTCCTTTGTGTGCGAAGCTCTCAGGCGAGGTTGCTTTCCGATTGTTATGAACCCTAGGGGTTGCGCCGGGTCGCCTCTCACCACGCCACGGTATGTGTAACTCGCTCAACTCAACTCAATTAAACTCAGTGAGGCAAGGATCATCTATCTGTTTGTGAATTGTAGTTGAAAACTTGAAATAATGAGGTGTGTGTTGGAAATTTGGTATCTTGGACTGAATATTGCACTTGTTATACGTAATTAAGAAATGGGTCTGGGTTTGTTTTGGATTTTTTTTTTAGGAGAAGAATCAGATGGTGATCGTAGAACGACTTAAGCCACTTTATGTTATGTAGGTTATTTTCAGCAGCTGACAGCGATGATATCTCCACTGCTATACAGTTCATCACTGAGGCGAGGCCGTGGACCACGATGATGGGTGTTGGCTGGGGCTATGGTGCTAATATGTTGACAAAGTACCTGGCAGAAGTTGGGGAGAGCACGCCGCTTACAGCCGCAACCTGCATGGACAATCCTTTTGACTTAGAGGAGGCCACTAGGTCCTCTCCTCATCAGATGGCTATTGATCAGCAGCTCACTGGTGGACTCATAGATATTCTAAGTTCTAACAAGGTGGATGATCAATTTGAATCTTCTACTATACTGCAAAATGCATTACCTTTCAGTCTTTCAATCTTTTACGAAACAAATTGCTACTTAAAATGCTTAACGAGGTGCCATCAAATTATGTTCCATTTAGTTTATGTAATTTATCCCTTGTCGCTATCAAATTACACAATATGCACGCTTGGTTGTGTAGGAACTGTTTCAAGGAAAAGCAAAAGGGTTTGATGTGGAACAAGCTCTTTCAGCGAGTTCTGTTCGTGATTTTGAAAAAGCAATCTCCATGGTATCTTATGGTTTTGAGACCATTGAAGATTTTTATTCAAAATCAAGTACAAGAGGTGTGGTTGGGAATGTGAAGATTCCCGTTCTATTTATACAGGTGCCTACATGGTTGTCAACTCAAAACCATTTACTTCAACTTTGACAAGATCTTGTTTATTGTATGTTAATATTTCAAACATGTCACTTTATCAGAAAGACAATGGGTCAGCGCCACTCTTCTCAGTTCCACGCAGTTTGATAGCAGAAAATCCATTTACAAGCCTACTTTTGTGTTCTTATTTGCCTTCTAGTGTCATTGATGGAGGTAGATTTGCTCTATCTTGGTGCCAGCATGTAACGATTGAGGTAATAAATTGGTTTATTTCTGTTTGCGGTTGAAGAAGTTTTATTTTAAAACACCTCATGTTTGAAGATTGGATGGAATCTAACTTTGTATTTTGATATTCTGATAAGAATGCATGTGGTCTGTGCAGTGGCTTACAGCAGTGGAGCTTGGACTTTTGAAGGGTCGTCACCCTCTTCTTAAAGATGTGGACTTACCCATCGACCCTTCTGAAGATTTAACTCTTGTGGAAGGCAGAGGGTCCAACAATAATGGCAAGTTTTCCAAGCAGTTGGATCTTACCCAGTCAGATTTTTTAAACGGATATACCACAGAACCAACAAACAATATGCCCAGTGAAAGTGATGCTGCTGCTAGCTTCTGGTTAAGATCCAAAAAGAACTCATGGAGAAAGTCAGAGGTTGGACACAAAGCGTTGCCGGATGTGGAAAATGGTGCCCTGCATCAGACCAAATCTGATGACCCAGAATTGGTCAACGAGGAGGAAGTCAATCCTGTAGATGGTGAAAGAGGTCAAGTGTTACAGACAGCACAAATTGTTATGAACATGCTAGATGTAACCCTGCCTGATACTCTAACAGAAGAAAAGAAGAAGAAGGTGGAGCTTGAAATTGCAATTTCATGCTATGGTTTCGCATTTGTGGTCGCATTTATGTTCATGTCATATGTTAATTGGGGTCTCTGGTCTTCTCTATGTGCATTTTAGAACTGATTAACACATAGTATATTTATGTTCTGGTCTATCTGAATCAAATATTGTACCTATTTAAATTTTATCTGAGATTTTTCTGGTATATGTGCCCAGGTATTAACAGCAGTTGATCAAGGGGACACACTAATGAAAGCTTTGCAAGATGCAGTGCCAGAAGATGTTCGTGGCAAGCTAACAGCTGCTGTATCTGGAGTTGTGCAGACACAAGGCACAAACCTTAAGTTTGATGAACTCCTGCGTATTACCCGGATTCCTGATATGTCTTCAGGTCTAAAGTCAAAGGTCCAAGAAAAGTTCACGGGAATATCAAGTTCAGAAGGTTTAAATCAAGACAATCATTCTTCGAATCAGTTGAAAAAGGATGATGATCTGGTAGATAGCTCACTTAACAATCTTCCTGATATGAACAAGCCTCCAGGGGGACTAGAATCAGAGTATCATCCCTCAGATAGATCACAACAGAATTTAAATCCAGATCAGTCCCAACCATTGAGCAGTAATGGAAGCGATGTTTCTGGTTCTGTCAGAAATGATGTTAGTGAATCAGGAAATAATGACGATGAGTCTTCCCAAGAAAAGGCTCCTGAATATCTTTATGATCAGGGGTCAGAACCAGACACAAATACTAACAGTTCCAGCCAGGCTGAAATTGTTGGTGGTTCTGATGAAGCAATTGTTGAGGAGCCAAGAGACCAAGATGGTATAGTAGATCAAGTAGACACAAAAGAAGAGGAAGGTAATGATAATCAAAAGATGGATGATAATAAGAATATGAAGCCTGTGATGGATCAACGTAATACCTTTAGTGTTTCTGAGGCACTGGATGCATTTACAGGGATAGATGATTCCACCCAATTGGCGGTCAACAATGTTTTTGGTGTTATTGAAAATATGATATCTCAATTGGAGGAGAGTTCAGAACATGAAAAAGAAGTAAGCAAAATTGACTCTGTATCAGGGTCTGAATCTGCAAAGGACCATCTCGATGATGACAGTAGTCTGGAAGATTCAGAAGCCAGTAAGACTGACCAAAATGAACAGCTGGATAGGTTAAGCAATATCTCTGTACCTGATCACCCTGAGATGGATTTGCAATCTGATGCATCAAATGGATGGGTAGAGAAGCCTAATCAAAGCCCCATGTCAGTTAATGGGAATTTTATGAACATTTCTCAGGGAAGTGATGCAGTTAACAGTGGAGTTGAGGATAAAAATGAAAAGAAGGATCAATTGGTTGGTATCAATCTTCTTGCTGGAAATTTAGACAAACTTAATCATGTAAAGAGCACTCCGCTCTGCATAACACCAGTTCCAACTGGGGCCCATATTGATCTTCTTTCAAAGTTACCTACCAAACCACTA